CGGTCCCAACCGCCCCCTGCCTCCCTGTCAAAGAAGTGACTGTCGGGAGGGCAGGGTGGTGGGAGAGGCTGCCTGACCCGCCTCAGATGCATGTTTTGAGATGTTCGGAGAGTTCAGCAGCTCTGTCTTGCACCAGAACCTTGTGTACTGTTCGTAAAGCCGGGAGGAGAAAGACGGGAAAGGAGCAGCTGCTTAGAGAACGGCTTTCTGCCTTCCCCCAGCTCTGTCAATCAAACTTCATTATTTAATTGTGTTATTTATATCTACACCCCAGTCCCTGCTCACCTCCTCACCCCATCATCCCACAGTGCTGTCTACACCCCAGTACCTGCTCACCTCCTCACCCCATCATCCCACAGTGCTGTCTACACCCCAGTACCTGCTCAGATCCCCACCCCATCATCCCACGGTGCTGTCTACACCCCAGTACCTGCTCAGATCCCCACCCCATCATCCCACGGTGCTGTCTACACCCCAGTACCTGCTCACCTCACCGTCTGATCCAATTCCTCCTCCCCTCCCAGTATCTGATCTCGCTCCACCCTCCCGAGTGGTGTCTGATACCCGGCCGATTTCCTCATCACCCACCAGGTGATGTCTACACCCCAATGTCTGACTAATGCCCTGTCCCCCACTCCCTGTCGGTCCCACATCCCTCCCTGAGACGTGGAGTAACCTCCTGCCCACGAGTTACCCTGGAAGCTACGGAAACGTGTCGGTGCCTGTTTGCGTGGTGACAGATTCACAAACACACGTGACTCGACCGCCTTCCCTTGTCCTGTGGAATCAGGTCATGTGTGACGAATGCTTGGGGACACGGATCCAGGCAGGCCTGACCCGATTCCACCTCAGCCCGTTCCAGAGCGCTCCCTGGCCTGGCGCCTGCCCCTCCGAGCCCAGCCGCCCTCACTACAGGCCCCTAGCCAGCGAGTCCTGGGTCCGAGGGTGTCCCTGGTCTGGAGACGTCCTGGGCCCGAGGGCATCCTGGATTAGAAGCCGGCCCACGACCCAAGGGTGTCCGGGGCCTGGGGGCGCCTGGAGCCGTAGCCTGGGTGTCCTGGTGGGCTGTGGGCCCTTTGTTCCCTCCCGGGAGCCAGAGCCCATGGGCAGTCGCCGACTTGCCGTGGAAACGACCGGTTTGACCCACAGACGACACGCAGCAGCATGTTCCTGTGGACAGGGCGGGCGTCCGTGAGGATGGGGGTCATGGCACCGTGGGGTCTTCCCTGATGGAGGTGTCAGGGCTCACGCCAAGCCGATGCCGAGAGAGAAGACGTTGTGACCTTCCCAGGAGCAGAGGGGAGCCCCCTACACACAGCCAGGGCTGCCCTGTCACCGGGAGCAGAGGGGAGCCCCCGCGCACGGCCAGCGCTGCCCTGTCACCGGGAGCAGAGGGGAGCCCCCACGCATGGCCAGGGCTGCCCTGTCACCGGGAGCAGAGGGGAGCCCCCACGCACGGCCAGGGCTGCCCTGTCACCGGGAGCAGAGGGGGCCGGGGCACCCACAGAGGGCAGGGCGGGCTGAGAGGGCTTAGTTTAGGGTGAGCTAGACTAGACAGCGGTGTACACGTGAGCTGGGTTAGTGTAGGGTTGGGTAGGCTGGCTCCTTACGCAGGCTTGGCCCTGGGTTTGCAGCTGCCTAGACCAGATGAGGGTGTAGATGTGAGTCAGGGTTACATTAGGGCCGGCTAGACCAGGTGACTGCGTAGACGGGGTTAGCTCAGGGCCGGCTAGACCAGGTGACTGCGTAGACGGGGTTAGCTCCGGGCCAGCTAGACCAGGTGACTGTGTAGATAGGGTTAGTTCAGGGTCAGCTAGACCAGCTGACTGTGTAGACAGGCCTGGGTTAGTTTGGGGCTGGCAAGGCCTGATGACAGTCTAGACATGGGCCTGGCTAGTTTAGGGCTGTCTACACTGGATGTTGGGGTGGGCGTGGGCCTGGCTAGTTTAGGGCTGTCTACACTGGATGACTGTAGGCCTAGCCCTGGCTAGTTTAAGATTGTCTACACTGGATGACTGTAGGCCCAGGCCTGGCTAGTTTAGGGCTGTCTACACTGGATGTTGGGGTGGGCGTGGGCCTGGCTAGTTTAGGGCTGTCTACACTGGATGTTGGGGTGGGCGTGGGCCTGGCTAGTTTAGGGCTGTCTACACTGAAGAGTCTGGCAGGCCTGGACCCCGGGCATGGCTGCAGCCCCCTGAGTAGGCCCAGGCCATGCCATGACTCGGGGCAGGAGAGCGGGTCCAGAAGCCCTGCCGATGCGGCGGAGTGGATTCTGATCAGCACCGGCCAGCCTCCGAGGGGCAGGCATCCCCCTGGGGAGTGCGGCCCGGACACAGGTACGTCCAGAGGGCAGAGAGGGGACTTGGCAGAGCAGCCTCGCCCTGTGACCACACATGGGTGCCATGCGTCTGCACAACGTAAGGACAGGGCAGAGACGCCGAGCCTGCCACGGCCCCGGGACAGGTGGAGCTGGCTGTGCCCAGACGGGTGGGTGCAGGGACGCGGGGGCTCGCGTTTCCGCAGGACCTGCAGGAGCCCAGGATCCAGCCCAGCTGGGCCAGGAGGGATGGGGCGGGGACACCCGGCCAGGGAGGCTGTCTGAGCCAGCTGGTGAGCCAGGCCAGGAGGTGGTGACCCCGTAAGACTCTGGACTCCCACGTGGCCAACTGCATGTGAGTCCTGGACCCGGTGGCTTGAAACAGCAGGCGCATGTGCGTGTGTACCCCAAATCCTCAGAGAAGGGAGGAGAAGGGAGCACAGCTGGTCATGCCCCGGGGTAACTTCTTCTTTCTGTCTCTCTGGCGAGCACACACACCCATAAAAGTCAAAGGAGGTGAACGGGCAGCAGGGACAGCTGTGAGGACCAGACAGTGTCACCGTGTGGCCGGCTCAGGCCTGTCACCCCCGTGTGTGCCGATGGCCCGTGTTCTCACACCTGCTGGGGCGTTGCTGGAGGCCCATGAGGATGTGCAGGCTCGCATGTCCATGCCGGCCCCGGTCCATCCGTGTGGACACCCTGCAGGAGCCCACTGAATCCTGCCGGGACAGCCGTGAAGCCAGCGTGTCTCCAGGAAGCTGTGGGCCTGGGCTGAGGGGACTGCGTGACTGCACGAGGTTACAGACGGGTGCTCCTGGGGCCAGCAGGCGGCGTGACAGTGACGCCACTGGTGCCCGAGATCCCAGGAGAATGGAGCAAGGCCGTCTCCCCCGGGGCGTGATTTCTGACTTCCTGTCTGTCTGTCTCTCTCTGGCAAGCACGCACCTGACACCAAAAATCTCACCAAAAAACGACAGTCCTGGCGCTCTGCAGCCCAGTGGTTAGGGGAGCCAGGTCCCACATGGCCCATGAAAAGCACACTCGGTGTGTGTGTGCACACGTGCCCCGAGTCCTCGTGGGGAGAAGAGGGCTGTGACGTGACCGTACCCCGGGCGGTGTGTCCCTCTCCCTCCCTGTCTCAGGCTGGCGCGTGTGCCCTTGGGCGAGTATAAAAACGGATTTATTGTTAGGGTGAGTCGGCGGTCTGGGCGCTGGGGTCTGCCCCAACCTGCCAAGAGCCGGGACCACAGGCACAGGGTCCCTCCGGGCTCTTAGGGCGGCGTCCCCGCTGGCTCCGGCCCCAAAGTCACAGAAACTCCACAGCACTGCGGCTGCCCCTCCTGTCATTTGTCAATGTCCTTTGGGGGCCAGCAGGTGGCGTGGTGGTGAAGGCACTGGACTCCCACATGGTTGGCGGCGGTTCAAGTCTCAAACCCAGCTGCTTGACAGTCTCGCTGGTCCTGTGTGCGTGCCCGAGACCCCGAGAACACTGGACGGGAATGCGGTGTGGCCGACCCCGGGCATGGTCTCTCACTTTCCCTCTCCGTCTCTTGTGAGTGCTTGCCCTGTGGACAGGTCCTCTGGCAGGGTCCTCCTCTCAGTCCCTGCAGCCTCCCGGAACCGGGAGCCCTGCCAGCAGCCCCGTCCCTGCCCGGGGCGACCCTCGCTAAGGCGCTGTCCCAGCCGTCTTCCGCAGCGCACCCGGAGAAGCTGCAGGGGACCGGACCAGGCCAGGCGGCTGAGGGGCGGCTGCTGCGGACGGCGCATGCTCTGTCCATCCGTGCACGCTCTGCCGGCCGCCCAGACCGCGTCTGCTCCCGGCAACCCCGCGGCAGCAGCAGGAGGGGGCAGGGCGGGCTCAGCCC